CTCTAGACCTCCTGTTTCTCATTAAAGGACATGTCCCTGCCCCTCACACACAGTCATGCTGCGTTCAGGCTGCCTGGAGCTTTGCCCCTGCGGGGGCTGAAGGTAAGGACAGAGCTGGGCAGCAGGATCCCGACTGCCCCATCTTGCAACAGTGCAAGAGTTTCTCTTTAGAGGAATCTGTAGGACAAGACTCTTTTTTTTCTTTTTTCTTTTTTTTTTTTTTTTTGGCCATGTTTTCTAACAGACTTATGCAGTATAGTGAGCCTATTCATTACACAGGATTTTGTTTCATGGGAAGATGGTAAATAAATCTAATTAACATCAGTTTTCTCATGTTTGAGCTTTCTGTTTTAAGTACAGCTTCCCTGACATAAACACAGAGATGTGTTGCAAGAATTTAAATCGCTTCTTAAGCCTCAGTTGATAAGAAGAGTTAGACATTGTATCTGTACCTGGCAAAACTGCTGCATTCTGCAGAACCCTCACCTATTTCTTAGATTATTGTAGCAAAAACACTGATACTTCTCTCCCCCCAAAAATGGCACTTATACATGTATTTAGACCAATGTCTAAACGCATTTTCTGTCACGCTGCAATTTAGCGTATGGCTGTCCCTCATTCCTCATCATTTCTTCACACAATCTGTTCGTAGCAACTCCTGATTCATTTTGTGTTTAAATGATAAATGCATTTGGGCACGAATTATGTCTATATTCCATGTTTGTTAACAGGACTCTGTAAAAAAGCAGCTCTGGTAACAGAAAGAAAAGGTGCTTTCCACGCTCCTGCTTTTGACACAAAGATTTTTTTATAAACTGCCAAGTCAAGGCACCCTGACTTCTGATAGCAGAGAAACACAACTCAAAAGTTAGCTGGACCCATTTGGATGTTGTTATTTAATTTCAATTAAAACATCCACTGACTTCAGGACAGCTGATTCTTGGCCTAACAAATGCAAACTAGAAGACTGGAAGAACAAATTAAAATTAAAATTGCAGCTCTGGCTCTGAACAGAGAATAGAAAGTACTTTGTCACCACTGCCACAAGCCATCCCATGCTCTAGTGAAAATCCTGATACAGTCCGGGCAGATTTTAAAGTGATTCCAGGGAGATATTCTGGGCTGTTTGGCCTCCTGATTAAGATTAGCAAAAATACTTCAATAGTAACAAGGAATCAACTTTTCACAGATGCATCCTTTTCTCCTCTCTGCTTTCCTCATATCTGTTAGCCAATTCCACCCTAAATCGCACCAAAATTCAGGGAGAGAGAGAAGTGATTGCTGCAAGAGGAAACGCACTGAAACTAGGCACCCAGAGCAGAGGATTTACCATAATACTGGGCATTTCCTAGAAGGGCATTTCTTTTTCTAGAATACATCACATAGCCTCTCTCTTTAGCACTACCCTTTTTGAGTGTCAGTTTTTCCCTCTTTTTTTCCCCCATTCTTCCTTCCCAGGGAGAAGGCTGCTTGGTAGTCTGCATTGCCATCATTGCCACAGTCCAGAAATGTGGCCTAATAAAAGGGAGAAATTCTTCATCAGACACTACAGAAAACTATAGGTAGGCAGAAATACTCTCTGAAGAATCTTTTGACCATGACACTGAGTTTAGTCACCCTTCCGCCCATAAAATCAAGCATACGTGATCTCTGAGCAATGGCTTGTGACAGGTTTATACCTAACATCTCACCCTAGAGCTGACAAATGTAGGAGAACGCTGTAAGGGCTTGACACCACATCTGCCACCCAGTTCCTGGAACTTCTTATCCCAAAGCTCCCTTTAATTTCCCAAACACCAGCCAGTCCTTTGAAGCCTGTTTCATGTAACCCGCCAGGAGCACAGCTGGAGCTTTGTGTGGCTGCAGGCTCTGCAAGACATAAACAAGAAAGTTGATATCTCCACACAACCTCCAGAAACAAAGTGCCTTGAGGGATCACATATATTTTCCCCAAAGAAAGCTGCTGTTATCAGCTTTGAAGGCAAAGTTTAGCAATGGTCTAAGCAGGCGACACGAAGTTTACAGATAGGCTAGAGATGCATCACAGCCCAGCTGCCTTTCAAAAGCTTGTGTCCCGGTCAAACAGCAGTCCCCGGGTGCAGAATGAAGTTACCTGTTGGACTCAGTGGTCAGTCTTATGCAGAGGAGAGAAGAGACAACTCTTTCCTTCACACTTCAGGAGCTACAAAACCAGAATTTTGTGAGGACAAGGGAATTTCTGCATCCATGTCTCACACACAGGACTACTTGAAATAAGGCAGGAGGAAAATGGGCTTGTAGCAGTAGTTGAAGCACACAACAGTCACAGCAGCTCTGTCCCCAGCACATCAGAGCACTAGTGCACCTGCTTCACATACCATTTTTCTCCAATGCTTCTGATAAAAAAATCACATCTCGAAAGTTATTTACTTCTTAAAGCTCCCAGTTGTGTCCTCCTCCTTTATATTGCCACTTGCGCACTAAAGTACAAACTCACACATATTTTCAAGATTTGTAAATATGACTGACTTCACCACATAGCACCTGTTTGAAAATAATGTTTCTCATAAAGCACCCTGGTGAGCAGGGGAGGTTGTGGAGTCTCCTTCTCTGGAGGTCTTCCAAACCCACCTGGATGCCACCCTGTGCCCCGTGCTCTGGGTGTCCCTGCTGGAGCAGGGGGTTGGACTGCATGATCTCTAGAGGTCCCTTCCAACCTCAACCATTCTGTGACTGTGTGATTCTGTGAGTGAAACAGAAACAGCTAAAGAGATGCCCAGATTGCCTCAGCAAACAATCAAATCGTTGCTGTACAAATAATAAAACACCCATCCATAACAACTTCCCTACGTCCAGATCAATACTCTGGTTAATATAGTGACTGGAGACAGCAGCCAAGACCACTTTCCTTTCTTCATACTACAAGAGATTTGGGGGCTATTTTTTAAAAATCTATTGTAATTGAATAAGGAAAAAAAAAAAAACGGTTTCTGTAAAACCTTAGGTTTGACTTACACTGAAAGGAGTAATGCTGCAATAGGAAAAAATGCATTTTTTTCTTTTTTTCTTTTTTTTTCTTTTTTTTTCTTCACTTTCCTTTAAAGTCAGTGTAGAACACAAAAATGCTTATCTCCTAAGCCTGAAAACGACACACTTTTAACTGCAAGAAAGGGTAAAAATTACCTGCTTCCATTTACTACCACTTTTAAAGCACTACTTAATGATTTATAAACATTACAGGAGAACAAGAATCAGCAATGCTGAAAAGTGAATGGAAAACTTGGACAAAAGCAGCAGAATTTAAGGGAGCAAGGCAACCACTTTTCTGAGAAATCCACAAATCCAAGAGCCTTTGGACCTCAGGAAGACCAAGAGCTAAGGCCAGGAGAAGACTGCAGCCATTCTTACTCCCAGCAGGACAGCTTCATGTCCTCACTGCATCCCCTTTTCAGGGATAATTTGCTTCTCACATCAGCTAGATTCCTAGCTCTGCATCTCTCATTCACTACTCAGCCTCTTAAATATAGGTATCAGTTATCAGCTAAACAGCAGGCATAAAATCCAGCTGTCTCTCCTGGCTTCAGCATGACATGAGTTATGCAGATGTGTAGCACACATGACATACTGACAGTCAAGTACTGCAGTGACGCTGTACTTAGGTTTTCTTAGCTAACACTGCAAAGCTAACAGCATGTTGCAAGCAAAATTTAGTCTCTCAAGCTCTTGTATTGCCACCTAGTGACCAACTTATGTCTAAGGTCTTGGTTTTCGAAGGTGGCATCTGCAGGAAATGCAACTATGAATGTGATTTCCCGTTACACCATCCACGCTTTCACACATCATGACTTGTGTTGTGCATCAGTCTGTATGCATCTGAAAACAGTCATTATGGACCTAGGCTGTGTACTGCTAATTCCTATGAGATTGGGGTTGTTGTACCAAACCAGAGTTTCAGCCACCGAAACTGATTGTCTCTTTTGCCCAAAAGCAAAAACTCATTTTCTTATTCATATCAACTCTCCTGTGATTGTAAAGGGTAGTTATTGGTAAGCCTCTGTATCACAGAATGGTTGAGGTTGGAAGGTCCTCTGGAGATCATCTAGTCCAAACCCCCTGCTCCAGCAGGGACACCTAGAGCACATGGCACAGGGTGGCATCCGGGCGGGTTTGGAAGATCTCCATAGAAGGAGACTCCACAACCTCCCTGGGCAGCCTGTGCCAGGGCTCTGTCACCCTCACAGGACAGAAGTTCTCCCTCACATGGAGATGGAGCTTCCTGTGTTTTTACTTGTACCCATTGCCCCTTGTTCTGTCATTGGCCACCACTGACAAAAGTCTGGACCCTTCCTCCCTATATTCACCCCTCAGGTACTTATACATTTTAATCAGATCTCCTGTCAGTCTTCTGTAGGCTAAACAGGCCCAGTTCGCTTAGTCTTTCCTCGTAAAACAGAGGCTCCAGTCCCTTAATCATCTTTGTTGCTCTGCATTGGAGCCCCTCCAATATCAAGTCACATCCCTCATACTGAGGGCACACTGAGGCTGAAGCATCCCTAACGTCTGCATGTCCCTCTTGCCCTGGGGAGCCCAGAATTGTCCCCAACACTCCAGGTGCTGCCTCCCCAGAGCTAAGCAGAGGGGCAGGATCCCCTTCCTCGCTCTGCTGGCCACATTCCTCCTGATGCAGGTCATCATCTTAAGGCAGCATTCCAGCTGCTTTAGTGTATCCCTACAAGCGAGCAAACAATGAAAACACACAAACTCTCTCAGACTCTGCCACACACAGGCACGTGCAGACACAAACTCTGCACAAGCTTCTTTACGGGCGCCTAACGACCGGAGCGCTTTTAGACACATCTGCCTTGGAGAGCTTTAACGCTAATGAGAGGCGCGGACCCGGAAGACTGAATACGTGACTGGAGCCGTAACGCCCCTACCGGCCGTAACGGCTCCCGCGGCCCCGCCCCTCTCCCGGCGTGCGCGGCGGCGGCTGCGGCAAGATGGCGGCGCGCGGCGCGGCGCTGGCGGCGCGCGGCGCGGCCCCCGCCAAGGGGCTGCTGGCGGCGCAGTGCGAGCGCGGCCTCTTCCAGGAGGTGTTCCCGGCGCGCGGCGCGCAGGAGCAGCTGCCCGCGCTGCTGGCGCCCGGCCGCCCGCCCATCACGGCCTACTGCGGCTTCGACCCCACGGCCGACTCGCTGCACGTGGGCCACCTGCCGGCGCTCATGGCGCTGCTGCACCTGCAGCGCGCGGGCCACCACGTCATCGCCCTGGTGGGCGGCGCCACGGCGCGCCTGGGCGACCCGAGCGGGCG